CATCATCATCATCATCATCATCATCATCATCATCATCATCATCATCATCATCATCATCATCATCATCATCATCATCATCATCATCATCATCATCATCATCATCATCATCATCATCATCATCATCATCATCATCATCATCATCATCATCATCATCATCATCATCATCATCATCATCATCATCATCATCATCATCATCATCATCATCATCATCATCATCATCATCATCATCATCATCATCATCATCATCATCATCATCATCATCATCATCATCATCATCATCATCATCATCATCATCATCATCATCATCATCATCATCATCATCATCATCATCATCATCATCATCATCATCATCATCATCATCATCATCATCATCATCATCATCATCATCATCATCATCATCATCATCATCATCATCATCATCATCATCATCATCATCATCATCATCATCATCATCATCATCATCATCATCATCATCATCATCATCATCATCATCATCATCATCATCATCATCATCATCATCATCATCATCATCATCATCATCATCATCATCATCATCATCATCATCATCATCATCATCATCATCATCCAAATCATCATCATCATCATCATCATCATCATCATCCAAATCATCATCATCATCATCATCATCCAAATCATCATCATCATCATCATCATCATCATCATCATCATCATCATCATCATCATCATCATCATCATCATCATCATCATCATCATCATCATCATCATCATCATCATCATCATCATCATCATCATCATCATCATCATCCAAATCATCATCATCATCATCATCATCATCATCATCATCATCATCATCATCATCATCATCATCATCATCATCATCATCATCATCATCATCATCATCATCATCATCATCCAAATCATCATCATCATCATCATCATCATCATCATCATCATCATCATCATCATCATCATCATCATCATCATCATCATCATCATCATCATCATCATCATCATCATCATCATCATCATCATCATCATCATCATCATCATCATCATCATCATCATCATCATCATCATCATCATCATCATCATCATCATCATCATCATCATCATCATCATCATCATCATCATCATCATCATCATCATCATCCAATCATCATCATCATCATCATCATCATCATCATCATCATCATCATCATCATCATCATCATCATCATCATCATCATCATCATCATCATCATCATCATCATCATCATCATCATCATCATCATCATCATCATCATCATCATCATCATCATCATCATCATCATCATCATCATCATCATCATCATCATCATCATCATCATCATCATCATCATCATCATCATCATCATCATCATCATCATCATCATCATCATCATCATCATCATCATCATCATCATCATCATCATCATCATCATCATCATCATCATCATCATCATCATCATCATCATCATCATCATCATCATCATCATCATCATCATCATCATCATCATCATCATCATCATCATCATCATCATCATCATCATCATCATCATCATCATCATCATCATCATCATCATCATCATCATCATCATCATCATCATCATCATCATCATCATCATCATCATCATCATCATCATCATCATCATCATCATCATCATCATCATCATATCATCATCATCATCATCATCATCATCATCATCATCATCATCATCATCATCATCATCATCATCATCATCATCATCATCATCATCATCATCATCATCATCATCATCATCATCCAAATCATCATCATCATCATCATCATCATCATCATCCAAATCATCATCATCATCATCATCATCCAAATCATCATCATCATCATCATCATCATCATCATCATCATCATCATCATCATCATCATCATCATCATCATCATCATCATCATCATCATCATCATCATCATCATCATCATCATCATCATCATCCAAATCATCATCATCATCATCATCATCATCATCATCATCATCATCATCATCATCATCATCATCATCATCATCATCCAAATCATCATCATCATCATCATCATCATCATCATCATCATCATCATCATCATCATCATCATCATCATCATCATCATCATCATCATCATCATCATCATCATCATCATCATCATCATCATCATCATCATCATCATCATCATCATCATCATCATCATCATCATCATCATCATCATCATCATCATCATCATCATCATCATCATCATCATCATCATCATCATCATCATCATCATCATCATCATCATCATCATCATCATCATCATCCAAATCATCATCATCATCATCATCATCATCATCATCATCATCATCATCATCATCATCATCATCATCCAAATCATCATCATCATCATCATCATCATCATCATCATCATCATCATCATCATCATCATCATCATCATCATCATCATCATCATCATCATCATCATCATCATCATCATCATCATCATCATCATCATCATCATCATCATCATCATCATCATCATCATCATCATCATCATCATCATCATCATCATCATCATCATCATCATCATCATCATCATCATCATCATCATCATCATCATCATCATCATCATCATCATCATCATCATCATCATCATCATCATCATCATCATCATCATCATCATCATCATCATCATCATCATCATCATCATCATCATCATCCAAATCATCATCATCATCATCATCATCATCATCATCATCATCCAAATCATCATCATCATCATCATCATCATCATCATCATCATCATCATCATCATCATCATCATCATCATCATCATCATCATCATCATCATCATCATCATCATCATCATCATCATCATCATCATCATCATCATCATCATCATCATCATCATCATCATCATCATCATCATCATCATCATCATCATCATCATCATCATCATCATCATCATCATCATCATCATCATCATCATCATCATCATCATCATCATCATCATCATCATCATCATCATCATCATCATCATCATCATCATCATCATCATCATCATCATCATCATCATCATCATCATCATCATCATCATCATCATCATCATCATCATCATCATCATCATCATCATCATCATCATCATCATCATCATCATCATCATCATCATCATCATCATCATCATCATCATCATCATCATCATCATCATCATCATCATCATCATCATCATCATCATCATCATCATCATCATCATCATCATCATCATCATCATCATCATCATCATCATCATCATCATCATCATCATCATCATCATCATCATCCAAATCATCATCATCATCATCATCATCCAAATCATCATCATCATCATCATCATCATCATCATCATCATCATCATCATCATCATCATCATCATCATCATCATCATCATCATCATCATCATCATCATCATCATCATCATCATCATCATCATCATCATCATCATCATCATCATCATCATCATCATCATCATCATCATCATCATCATCATCATCATCATCATCATCATCATCATCATCATCATCATCATCATCATCATCATCATCATCATCATCATCATCATCATCATCATCATCATCATCATCATCATCATCATCATCATCATCATCATCATCATCATCATCATCATCATCATCATCATCATCATCATCATCATCATCATCATCATCATCATCATCATCATCATCATCATCATCATCATCATCATCATCATCATCATCATCATCATCATCATCATCAGGCAATTATTTTCAACCATGGAAGCATCGTACTTCAAGTTTACCAGTCTTTGGCACTCCGCGATTACTTCTTGTAATGCTACGTTCGGACACTATTCAATTTTGCTCGAAATTCTGGTTCTGATATCAGCATCTTCGGAAGATTGTAGGCTGCACACAAATACAAGACACTTAAACTGATCTGTCAGTGTTGATAATTTGAAGCTCTCACTCTCGTGGTTTACTAAACTGGCATGTTCCCCTCGGTCATCATCAGCTGCTTTTGTTATCTTGAGACATTAATGACGAATATTGAACAAGGATAACTGCTTAGCAAAGATTTGCGACAAAATATCAATCGTTTCATCAAAAGAAAAACCTCTAGGGTTCTTTGGAAGGATGAAATTACTGTAGCATTCATGTCCCACTGTGTCAAGTCTTCTTAAGAGTATTCTGACCTTGGCGGCGTCATCAAGTTTTTTAAGGTCGACCTTGAACAAATCTTCGAAACTAAATTCATGGATAGAATTATTAATATGGTCAACATGAGATTTAAAAGTATCATCCATAACCCCACTTTGATTTAGATTCAACTGTTGATTTAGAATCTCCATAAAACGAACCTGGAACTGTTAGAAACGTTTTTCTTGACGCTCTAGCAAAGCTTCAAATTGTTCAAAGGTAAATGACATCTCGATAAGCTAACCCTGTTGCCAGTTGTTATATCTCGAACTTAGATCCTTAGTACCAAGGACCACGACATAGGTATGACGTGGTATACTTGAGCACTCGAACACTCGAACCTTCCCACGTCGCAAAATCTGAATACAGAAGACTAGTAAGTAGGAATGTTATTCCCCAAACAGTATCCAATATATTTAGTATTGTTTGTTTGAATCTTCCAATTGATGATTAGGACTGCAGCTGGTCAGTCTCTTATTGGCATATGTGAATACTGTGCGTATTGCCTCGATATTGCCTTAATTCACAAGCATCATAAGCAATGTGTATTTTACGGATGTTTTTCATATTTTATAAAAGCACTTCGTAGTTTTTGCTCTGAACAACAAATTGGTTTGGCTGACCTGAGTTCTTATTCACATCAGTGGTTGTCGCTGTGTAATATTAGGCAAAACATCTATACCCCCGTTTTTGTTTCAGTTGAATGATTTTTATATCATACAGTTGCAGGATTTATGTATCCCCTTTCACTTTCAAAATAAACGTCTGTGACTGTAGTGATCGCTATCACCCAAGAGATTTGTTGTTTCTTGTGTTTGTTGTTAGGATATTTCATAGTAATAGGTGAACGTGTAGCTGGGGCGTGGGTGTCGAATATGACTTCGGCTAAATATTAATCGGATTCAAGTGGCTTTAAAACTCTTCAACAAGCGACGGTTCTTAACAGACTGCATATTTTAGCCAGTGCTTCATAGAAACTAGTGGATATCGCCGAACGGAATGCTCTTTGCCTTAATCTGCTGAACAAACTAAATTTCACGTCTGTCTAACAACCTCAGATGTCATTCCACCTCTTCGTCAATAACAAATAATACAGCCAATCTCTCCTTGTGGCTTTTTACTTTGTCACCGCCTGTGCCACGCTTTCAGTCAGGATGTCCATTGTGAAGTCGCGTTGACTACCGTAGCATTGTGTAATTCATTAAGGATCTACTTCCTTTATTCGTGGAGCCTTTGTTCTTCTAACGCTTTCTCTCTATCGACAGCTTAAACTACTTTTAACGACGCCCCACAAGAACATTTCACACTACGTCTCATTCCTTCACCAGTCTAAGTCTTCTAGCCGCTACAATCTTTGCCGCTGAACAGTGTCCACAATTCTATTTCGGCTGGGTCTCGTTTTGACCCTTATGACGTTTTTATAATTATGTGGATATTAGATTTATCCTTAAGACTATGTGCGCGTGTATGCATGTTTATAATATTAATTGATCAGATGGCTCAAATTCTTCTTGGTATATTTTCTCTATCGCTATGATTATAGTCCAAGGGACAGTTTCATTGTGCATTAAAATAGGGAAAAAGGAAAAAAATTGATTCTTGCCGGTTAGTTGCAGGTTTACATGCTCACAAGTGATTGTCATTTGGTTTTAGAAAAAGTTAAGTATTCGATTTCTGAGTATTGATTCGTATTCTCATTACTGAGTTGGGTGGATTCTTGTGTTTTACTAAAACTGGCAACTGATTTTAGTTGAACAACAGTTGAAAAACTGAAATCACTGAACATCTAAATAGTCTTAGTATGGGACTAACCAGTAGTGTACATCCGAGACCACTCCACAAGGATGTTGATGCCGAGGTTCACACAGTATTAGAAGACGCAGTTTCCGGACTTCCGGTCACATTCGAAGCCATTAAAGAAGCTAGTGAGAAGGATAATGTGTTGAAAATTGTTCGCCGCTGCAAACTCAACAAGTGAGATACACCTAGACTATGTGGAGAACTCTTGCAATATTTCCGTAGACGAGATTCTTTGACAGTTGTAGATTCCTGCATCATGTTTGGTCACCGTATTGTTATCCCCAGAAATCTTCGAAAACAAGTACTTAAGATGTTCAACAGTGGGCACCCAGGGATAAGTAAAATGAAGTCATTAGCTCGAAGCTACGCATACTGATCATCAATGGACCATGATGTAGAACGAAAGTGTCGCAGTTGTTCTTCCTGTTTAGAGGCCGCAAAGAACCCAAATAAAGCTGAACCGCAACCATGGTCAAAACCAGATGGTCCTTGGCAAATAATACACGCTGATTTTGCCGGTCCAATACGAGGTAGGAATTACTTAGTTGTTGTCGACGCTTTCACAAGATGGCCAGAAGTATACGATATGCCGAAAACGACATCAGAGAGTACGACAAGAAAAATGTCAGGATTAATTGCTTGTTTTGAGCTTCCCGAGATCTTAGTGACTGACAACGGCACCCAGTTCATGTCATCTGTTTTTAAACGGTTTTGCAATGAAAATGGCATATCACATCTACAGTCTCCTCCGTACCATCTTCATTCGAATGGCCAAGCAGAAAGATTTGTGGATACTATAAAACGAGCTCTAGTCAAAGGTGGAGGAGAGGCTATCCCAGAACAAGTAATCAGCAAGTTCCTTATGTCTAATAGAGTTACCCTAATCCAGCAGTACCAGAAGAAAAGTCCCCAGCCGAGTGCATGTTCGGAAGGAAAATCCGAACAGTATGTTGCCACTTAGAAAGACAAGTAAACCCACGAACGAGTATCATATGGCCACCCGTACCTTCAAGGTAGGTGACAGGGTACTTGTTAAATCGTATCAAGGTGAAAGGAGGTGAGAACCAGGTATTATAGAACGTCGAATCGGAAGTGTATTGTATCTAATCCGGAGAAATGTCGGAACTTGTATAAGGCACATAATTCCAATTCGAACGGACGGCTGAACATTAATGCCACAAAGCCGACTCCCATTTCCTTTGCTCGTGGAGAAATCTCAAAAAAGCCCTCAGGTGCGCGAATCTAGAAGAGATAAACGACGCAAGCGCAAAGAGGCACAACCTTCGAGAGTGATGAATCGCACGAGGAATGCGGTAACTCAATTCCAGGTGAATCCGAGAAAAAGGTCTTATACAACAGATTTTAATGGGGAGAGGTGTGAGGATGGTCCACAGGTAAAGTCAAGGAAGCTCTAATAAGCACAGAAGGAGCCGGACATATTCCATACAGTCAGCTTTGGGAAGAATATTCTAGAATCACTACGTGTTGCTTCCCTATTGGACAATGCTGATAACTCCCAATTCGCCGATTGGATAACTATAATGATGATTTCGTTTCTATTAAAAACTATAAATACCTGACAATTTTGTACCATAATCGACACTGTTTGGGATCACATTCCTTCTACTTGTCTTCTGTCTTCTGATTTTTGACTTGGAAGGGTTCTAGCGTTTCAGTGCTCAAGTATTGTGTGACAGACTAAAAAATCTAAGTTCGAGATATAACACATTCGTTTAAAAATTTCAAACTAACAAACAGAGGAGTTGAAGCTTCATGAGACTACATGACTTTGGTTAGACGATTATAAAATGTTAGCGGATACTAAGCAGCATTATCAACGTGTCATTCTTCTTCACCACGATTAGATCTTCACAACATATTAGTGACGGGTACCAATATATGAGGCTTCACCTCATTTTTAGACGATTAACATTATTTCATTTGGTTGACATAAAGTTCAGTCAACTGCATGATGATCACCAATTGTCACATGTTCCTGAAATCTATCCCTAGTAGAGCAGCCAATGATCACCACTGAAGGATCATGTACTTTTATCCAACATCTACCAACTTCTCCCTTTTCCACAATGGTTATTGAAATAAAGTAAGCCTGTGATATCAGGCTCCAGCAATTTACACAATGAAAATACAATACTATAATGCTCATTATCGTTGGATGAACTAGCCATTTTTAAAATAATCAGCGAAAGAATGTCGTATCCCATTTCACTCATTTGAGTAAGGTTCCGAATTCCGTTAAATATGGTTATAGAGATAATGAAGAATATTTGTATCCACCTGACATGCTCATCGTTTAGTTGAGCCAGCTAAGTAGATTGATTGATTTTCAAGTCCCTCACTTTTGTTTTGAACAAGATGATAAGTCAATACTGTTCAAAAATAAATGAAATCTCCATCTACTGCTATCACCAGAGCATTTTAATCAATTTGAGTTGGGTTTATGTATCAAATTGAGATAACATGCGAGAAGAAGATTGAAAATTTGTGTTTATACATTTATACTACTGAAATGATTAGGTAGTCAAAAAGTGTAAATAACTAAATCCGCCTTATAGATTTATTTGAAGCCTGAGTCTGTTTTTGATCATTCTCTAATACTCTGCGTCTAACCCCACTATTACTTACCTGGTGATCCCAGCAGATGCGAGCAACATTTCTAAGGTATCTGTCGTCAAATACTAGTAATTTACAAGTATCTTCTACTCTTAATGGCCACGTTTCGCAGCCGTAAAATAAAACAGAACAAACTGCTGCACAGTATACTCGTCCCTCAATTGGTAGACGGATATCTCGTCTCCGCCATAGGTAATGTAAGTTGATAAAAGCCAAACGAGCTTTTTGAATCCGTGTTGGGATTTTGTCAGACACCAACCCATTAGGGCTGATCAGACTTCCAAGATGAGTTGAGTTGTTGACGCGTTCGACTACTTCACCCCTTATCGTTAGTTAAGGTGTTGACGCTGGCCAGTCCTGGAGTAACAATTTACATTTAGTGGAAGAGAAACACATCTGAAACAACCTTGAATTGTTACTGAGCGCTAACAGAAGACTCTGCATTTTGCTACTGTTTTCACCAAACTGGAATATGTCATCTGCGTATTCTAGGTAGATAAGTGGGCCGCCTGGTAGGAGATCAATTCCTGAAAATTTAGTCGAAGAGAGTGTTATTTCCAACAGTAGGTCTATAATGCAGTTAAAGAAAATTGAAGATAGTGGTCAGCCTTTTCGGACACCACTTGAGGTTGTAAAATCAGATGACAGTTCGCCGTAAGATCTCACTCGACTGGTAGTGTTCGAGTAATGAGCCTTCTCAAGGTTTATGCACTTCTGAGGTACACCTTTCAATGACACACTGACACAGCACGTCTCAGTCTACATAGTCAAATGGTGCTTTTAAGTCAAGAAAAACTGTCATTGTTGGACGCAGATAAACATATCTGTGCTTTAAATCGTGACGAATAGTGAATATGTTGTCGATGCAGCCACGACCAGGTCTGAAGCTATCCTGATTTTCTCAAGTGTTAGTTAGGCGCCCGATAATTACTGAGGCCAGTATTTCAGATGCTATGTTAGTCAAACTAATCTCTCCATGATTAACAGGGTGATCTTGGCCTTTTCTTAAATACTGGGACAATATGTGGTTGTGACCAGTCGGTAGGATAACGTCCAACTCCCACATTTCAGTCAACATATTAGTCAACCTAATGGCTAAAATTGGACCACCATAATAAAAAACCCCTAGAGCCAAACCAACTGTACAAGCTGTTATTCCTTGTTTCACATTAGCTACAGCCTTTTGAACTTCAGATCAAAGTTGAGGACCTACTTTAATGTTCCATTCGGACTGTTTGGTTAGGTAACTATAGATAAGGGTTTCGTCTTTTTCCGAGCTTGTTCCGCTTACACTTGACTTCTCCATTCCGGTTTCCATTATTGGTTTGAAGAGTTGCTTGGTGTTATCTATAGACGCAGCTTTTTCTATCTCTTTTGCTTTCGTATACCACCACTGCTCACAATCGTTTCTCGGACTTTTAGTCAACCTAGATCTGATTTGTTTTCGCTCTTCGTCGTGTTC